AGTTAAAGTCATTGGCTGAGGAAGAGTAAGTAAGCACTGACCAAATTCTGAAAAGCCATACATATACATAGTGGGATGATAGACATTTATCCTGCAACTAGTATACACTCATTAGCAATCCTTCCAACAGGAACATCTACCCCAAGGAAGAAACAGCTGTTTAGTGGCCTAATGACAGCTCATTCCTTGCTGAAATACTCCAGAGGATACGTTTGTGGCCACAGGACTCTCTGAGTGCCATTCAATCAGAAGTAGCTCCTGCAGTGCCTTGTGGACTTACTTCCTGTTTAGTGTAAATAGAATAGGATCAAACTTTTATGCCAATTACAATCTACAGGACACAGTACATCTAAGGAAGTGGAAACCGGAGGGATAGGAAGTTAAGAAGTTCAGCCAAGTGGTCCAAAGAGTAAATGAAAATAATTCTGGATAACCTTGAGAAAGAGACTAGTCTCAAGATGTTGTTCCAATACCAACACAGAAACAACAGAATTAATATCAGTAGGAAGAGCACCCAGAGCTGCAAAATGATCCAAAAAGTATGAAATACATAGAGGCGCACTGGTATTTCAAAAAGTTCCATTTTACTGCTTTAGGAGTACATTGACACATTCCAATCTGAGCTAGCCAGAATTAAGTAATGCTTCATTTTTCTAAGATTAATCAGGATACTTGGTGTATATACTTCATTTTTTAATATATATTTTTATGTTTTAAAAATGTAACCTAAATCAACACTGTTTTGGGATAACTCAGTAGGGAAAAAAGAACATTAATTTAACAATTAACATTACTGTATTATTCTTTCTGTAGATCACTTTTACATGGTTGTCTGGTTCAATGAGAATGAGAAAGAAGGCAGGAATACTAGAGCTCTGCAGAGGAACACTATAAAGAAGAAAAATGGTGGCAGTTACAATGAAATATGGGAGTATGGAAGGACTCTATGAAACGCAGCCAAGGCATACAGGGGAAATTATAGGAGGGCATAAATAGGCTGCAGCAATATAGATAAAAGAAAGAACACAGTTGCAAGGCTGGATGCGGACAATAGTTTTTCAAAGGCTTGAGCATTGTCTGAGAGGCATCATTTCCTATGACATTTTGTTGCACTTTTCCAGAAACCACCTAAGTAAGCCTGCTTTATCTTCATACTGCAAAATCAGAAGCCATTGAGTACATACGTAAACATGTAATGGCAATATTACATTTATAAACCAGCATACTCCATATGCTAAGCACCTGGTCACTAGAATGGCAATGTGTCATCTAAATTAACTTATAATTTAAAAAAACTCCATGAGCTCCTGTGATGACCACAACAACAGTATTAGAGGTGAAATTAATCCATTAAAAGCAGGCAATGGCATCCCCTTTACTGGTGCTTTAAAATTACTGAGTTGATGATGCAGTTTGCTAAGAATTATGAGGGAAAACAGGATGAGGAGGTAATATTTTCTTTTAGGGGCTGTGAAAATGCTAACAATTGTCCTCAAAATAAGCACCCGGTTAATGAAGAGCCCTGACATTACAGCTTGAGACAGCAATCTTCCCTCCTCATTCCTTAGGGAAAAAAATCCTTACAACTCACAAGAACAAAGAATCAATGTCAGTGGCCTGAAGGCTTTATGTAGTTACTTTCCATTAATCAGCCATGGGAAAGAAAAACTGTGTGCTGTTTAATTGGTTGGGAAACAAGGCACAGATAATAAAATGAAATTCAGGAGATGATAATGAGCAGCTGTTCAATAGATGTAACTTTGCCAAACCATTTCCATAAAATGTAAGATATTGTACAATCTCACCTATTGAATTTACATAAAATACTTTGGCAATAATGTCTAAATTGTGAATACAAGGGTTTACACTATATGAGTTTTACTTTAATTCAATTACTCAGAATAGTCATTAATTATCAGAATATATAGTTCAGTAATTTGTCAGTTTATCCCTGAAGGGGTTGTGCAAGCACAACATTTGTGTAGCACTTCAAATGGGTAGATTCCATCCAGAAAAATGGTACCATTAGTCTCAGTAGAAAATTGCTTAGCTTCAGCAAATTAAATCTAGACATTGCCTAAAAGCAGGACTTAAAGTTCAATGAAGCAGCTACCTACAGACACAGGCACTGTGAGGCAGAAACACTTAAGATTACAAATCCTTAATTTGCCTCTGCTTCAGATATGTTTAAAAGATGAAGGTGAGGAAAATTGCCAGAGAATAATGAAGGGCTCTTTTCTCATTCTGAGGCATAACAGCTAATACCTCCAAGTGGACAAGTCTTTTGGACACAGCAATTTAGAAGCAGAGTTAATTACAAGTTTACTCTATGTATAAATAAAGCAGAATAAAAGCTTCAAGATAACTCCAAATTATGAACAATCTAAATATTGTTGGATTTTTAGCCCCTTGGTTTACAATGTTTTCCTCTGCAACTGTATGTGTCACACACCCACAAATACCATCTTAGAACAATATTCAGTAATCTGATGGAGTGAGCTCAGGACTCTAGTTTGTGAATGTTTATCCCTAAGAACATAAAGAGTTCTACTAGATTAGACCAAAGCTCCATCTAGTCCAGCATCCTATTTCTCACAGTAGGTAACCAAATCCAAACCTTAATCTAATCCCCTTTTAAAGTTGCCTAAGCTAGTACCACCATCATATCTTATGGCATCTAATTCCACAAGATATGGCCACACTAGTGGGTGTTAAAGAATCAACTCACCTGAGCATGCCATTTTTAACTTTAAAAAAATCCAATAGAATATTAATATACTTTAAAATGTAGATGGAGAATCTGTGGCCATGGTGACTTGAGAGTGATGGGAGTTTGCCAACAACATCTAGAAGGCCACAAATTCCCCACCTCTGATTTAAAATAGATTAAAATTATATTGATATTTTTAAAAGATAAAAATGGCATGCCCTTCCAGTTAAAATAAGCACACTGATAAATGGCACTGACAGCAAATACAATAGTGGTGTGCCAATTTAGAAGTGTGTCAAACGTCTCAGCCACAGAAACAACCTTAATGTAGGCGTCTGCTGTAGACCAAGCCAGACTGAAGACTTGGATGATGTGTTCATAGAGCAGATTACCAAACAATAAAAAAGGAGAGATATAGTATTCATGGGAAGCTTAAACTTCCCTGATATTTGTTAGAACTCAAACTGTGCTAAGAATGTAAGGTTCGGCAAATTCCTCCATTGCGTCGCTAACAATTTAATCTCCCAGAAGGTGGAAGAAGCAACAGTACTCATCATCCTGGAAAAAAGTGACAAGTGGGGTGCCACAGGGTTCTGTCCTGGGCCGATTACTGTTCAGCATCTTTATAAGAGACTTGGATATTGGAATTGAGGGGAGGCTCATCAAATTTTCAGATTACACCAAACTGGGAGGGGTAGCTAATATTGCAGAAGATGGAATCAAAATTCAAAATGATCTTAACAGGTTGGAGAACTGGGCCAAGCTAACAAAATGAATTTCAATAGGGACAAATGTAAGGTTCTGCACTTAGGCAGGAAGAACCAGATGCACAAATATAGAGTGGGAGGCACATGGCTTACTAGCAGTACATGTGAAAAAGATCTAGGGGTCTTAGTGAACCACAAGCTTAACATGAGTCAATAGTGTGATGCAGCAGCAAAAAAACCTACTGCTATTCTAGACTGTGTCAAGAGAAGTATAGTGTCCCAATCATGGGAAGTAATAGTACCACTCTATTCTTCCTTAGTCAGACCCCACCTGGAATACTGTGTCCAATTTTGGGCAGCAGAATTTAAGGATATTGACAAGCTGGAACATGTACAGAGGAGGGCAACCAAGATGATAAAAGGGTCTGGAAACCAAGCCTTATGAAGAACAGTTGAAGGAGCTGGGTATGCCTGGAAAAGAGGAGATTGAGAGGAGATATGATAGCCACCTTCAAATATCTCAACGAATGTTTGAAGGAAGGTGAGGACAGGTGACCTCACCTAGGCCCGAAGTCACCCCCCACCAAAGCAGGTTCAAAGCTTCTCAAAATCATTTTCTCAGCAGCTAAGCATCAGAAACATTCTGCTCTGCTGTAACAAAGGTAGAGAACAGTCCATTGTTTCTCAGGCCTTTCTCATGTCTTCTGGCCTTGCTAAAGAACCACATTGCAACTTGCTTTCTGTCCGGGAACCATGCCAGAACAAGAGATTGAAACATATCTGAACATGCTGAAAACCCCTTGGCTTCTCATTCCCCCTTTCCTGGGTCCAATAGTCCAATAGTCCCAAGACAGCTTTCTGTTCATGCTCAGGAACCTCAACATGGGGCAGGACTCCTGAGGGAGGAGAAAGGAGGAGGGAACTGGAAAGGGGTATATATGCTTGTGCACAGGATTGTGAACTCGTGCATGCTTTTTGTGACTTATCACACTTGCTCCTTCTACCAGTTCATGGATGGCAGAAATAAAAGCCTTTTCTCCGAAACCATTCCTTGAGTGTCTGTTGACTCCCACTTCCCTTTCCCAGGCGCAATATTTTTCCCACCCGAGGGCAAAGCCTCATAAGGCTACATGTTCACATGGAATATGGGCAAGTTTGTTTTCTCTTGAGGGTGGGACTGAAACCAATGGCTTCAAGCTACCAGAAAGGAGAATTTGACTAAACCTCAGGAAAACCTTTCTGACAATAAGAGCTGTTACACAGTGGACCGGTCTCTCTCGGGGGGTTGCGGGCTCTCCTTTCTTGGAGGTTTTTCAGCAGGGACTGGATTGATGCTTCAGCTGGGATTCCTGCTTGGCAGGGGGTTGGGCTAGATGACCCTCGGGGGTCCCTTCCAACTCTTAAGATTCTACGATCCTGCGTCGCCTCGCCTTGCCTCACGGGTGAGCCGGCCCTGGTCGGCGGGGGATTATTTGACGTCATTTTGAGAACTCAAGGAAAGGTGTTTGAAAGAGCGCGAAAGCGGAACGGAAGTACGAGGGGCGCTTCTGCTTCGGCGACGTTTCCCCGTTGCGCTTCCTCCCCTCATGACTCTCTCTTCCGGAAATGCTCCCGGCTCCGGCAGGAAAATGGCGGCGGCCGCGGGTCGGCTGGCGGGCGGGCGTCTCCTGTGGGCCTGTCCGGGCCTCCTCCTTTCGCGGAACTCAGCCTTAGGGAAACGGGTGAGTGACCGAGGCTCCGCCGGCCAACGGCTGCCGAGCCTTCGGGCCTCTGAGGCAGCGGCTGCCGGAACGAGAGGCGCTCTCGCCTCTCTGGTCGCCGCGCACTGCATGCTGGGGCGCGTAGTTTCTTGATTATGCCGCGCAGGGATCCTTCTGGTATTCGCTCCGCGCTGAGGGAGTCGGTAGCGCGCCGCCTGATGGGAATTGTAGTCCGTGCTGTGGATTTAAGTTTTGGTGGGGGCATTGGGATGTCGCTTGGCACCTCTTAACTCTTCACAAGGTGCCCTGAGCAAGGACAAAATTTGCCCCCCCCCGATATTTATTACTTTTCACAATTATTCCAGTGACTTTTTAATGTATCTGCTCTGTATGTACCCCTACAAATATAGGTGGTGGTGGTTGTTTTGCCCTGTGCTGGGGAACAGCCCACGCCCTGTTGTGAGGAGGGATACTCCCCACCCTATGAATGGATACTGACCTCATCCAGCTCCTCCTTGTCCTTTCTGCGTTGTCAGTGTCCAGCGGTGCTGGTCAGGAGGTAGCTTGGTCAAGAGGGCAGTCGTCGTTCTTCACCTTTTCCAACGTGAAGGCTTTATTTAAAGGGTAATTCTGGGGAAAGGAGCTAGGTCTTCCTATCAAGTGTCGCCTTTGTGTCAAAGCCTAGTTTCAGTATCAGAATGTGCCCCCAAACACACCAAAGCAATAGTGAATATTGTATCTTACAACACATTACTCTCATCACTCAGTAACCATATGTCTTTCGGTTGTGACGGATAATAAAAAGGGGGGTTCACACGAACCCTCTCATGCGTTAAATTTTAAGGACATGGGCCGGCTCTTTCTTCTACTGATGTGCCATCTGGCTGTGCTTCCAGCAACTGTGAGAAGGGGCCATATGTAGCCACATGCATTGAGCTATTTCATGTGGGGGCTCTGAATTATCCCTCGCACAGAGAAGCTCTGGTAATAGGTGGCAAACAGAAAAGCCAGCCCACACAATCTGGTGGCTTCCTTTTGCATTCTTTTAACATTTGAGCGGGTTGTCTCAACAACCCTAAAGTGAGGGCTCCACATAGGTTTGCTTCCCAGTATGTCTCTCTGTAGATAGAAAATACTGAGCAAAGTTTTGGGACCACTTATTGTCTTAAACTCTCATAGAACAGTAACTGGAACTCTGTTTGCTCTCATATAATTTTATAAACATAATTTACTTCCTTGTAAGTGAAGATAAGCATTTGTATCATACTCCTCACTGGTCACTTTTTCCAATAGTCTGTACATCTTGGGAGAAGCAGATTCAGAGCTACCAAGGCAGTATCTCAAATTGTCCTAAATGTTCCTGAGACGAAGGTATCTTCTCTAGATAACGGCTTGAGGGTAGCATCTGAAGATTCTGGGATTTCAACATGCACAGTAAGTAACAGTTGTGAGTGAAATACTCCCCTGGCCTTTTAAATCTTTGCCTTTTCAAATATTGGTAAGTTGGTTGTGTAAAGAACAGTAATAGCACCCTTACTGAAGGAAAATTTAAATGCTAAGGCTTCCTAGTAAATATTTATGATGCTGCATTAAGCGTATGCTTTACTTATGCAGGAGATTTTAATATAAACTTTTCTGGCTTGTAGAATAGTTTTTTTTATTAAGGCCTAATTGCTTTGATCGCTGCATCATCAGGGGAACTGTTCTCATGGGAAATAGCAGCTGTTGTCACCAGTGCTGGTATTCTGATGTTGGAAATTGATCCAAGATACCAAAGTGGATCAGTGGGGTGGATCCACTATGCACCAGCAATATGATAACATATTGATAATTATCAGGTGGTGATTTTGTGATGCAAAGTGGTTGCAGTCGGAGCATTCCTGATTCCGGGTTGCCTTTGCATTATCCTAATGCAGCCTTACAGAATCAATGCCTCTTCCACACACCAGAGGCGCAACGTGTGTTGCTGGTGCTTGGGGCAGGGCAAGTGTTGCTCCTTGCTGGTGGACTGGGCAGCTGGTGTGGAGGTGTGCTTCCTTGGGCACTTTCCTGTCTTCCTCTTCCTCCCTCCTTGGGTGGTGGTGGTGGCAGTGCTGCTCCTCCCCTCCCTCCCTCTCAGCCAGGCTGGGAGGCACACTGGCAGGCACCCAGACTGGGAGACCTTGGGGCTGCCCTTGTGCACCCCGCAGTTGCCTGCTGGCCATGTTCCCCCTGCCACTGGCGAGGGAGGGGTGCACTCTGCCTCCACAGCATATTGAATCTCAGTCTGTGTTTTATTGGTCGGTAAGACTAATGATTTGTTTTGAATGAGGTGGGACTTTGGATTGACGCTGGAAGCAGATACGAAAATGAGAAAAACAATGGAACAGCTCACTTCCTGGAGCATATGGCTTTTAAGGCAAGTTCTCAAAGTAACTTTCCCATGCTGTTTATCCAATTAAATATTAATTTGTGTTCATCTTTAATTCAGTAGTAGACCTTATGCCTAGCTTCAGATCGGAAAACTAGAAAGCAGTGTCAAAGCACGTAAGCAATCTAGATCTTGTTCCAATAAAGGCAGCTGTGGTGAAATAACCTTGGCCTAAGTATTTAATGCTTGATGGTTTGGAAAGTAGCCACCAAGGTTAAAGGACGAGTAGTTACTTTACAGCTTGTCAGCCGGATGAAGCTGATGAAGTTCTTTTATTGCTCTTCCGAAGGATCTATCCCATTTGTATTGTATGTTGTGGCCTGTGAAATTTGCTCACTGCGCAACCATCGTAATCTCTAGGAAGACCTTGCTCCTTGCATTACAGGGTGCTGATTCACACGTAGCGGGTGCTCCATTCTGGTGAGGTATGCAACTCCATCATGACACGACATACTTGCAGAAAGCTTTTTAGAGCATGTGACGCAGTGGTCCCACACAACAGTTGCGGCAAAAGCATGGAGATCTATCAGCATTAAGGGGGCATGTTGGGTTGTGCCAGGAGATTGGGCAGTCTGCACTCTGAAAGCTTGCCTGCAAATCATACAAGACAGCCATACAAGACTTCAGATCACACTTATTTTTTTAATTCAAGAACTGTTTCTGTTTGCTCCATCTAGAGGTTGTAAAACTCAAAGGTGGTTGAGTATATTTCTGGCCATCTTTGTTTTTTGGGGAGTGAGCCATACAAACTGCTTTATTTTAATCAAATAAGAGCTTATGGACCAGATTGAGACAATTTTTGATCTTTCTTAAGAAAACAAGGCTTTTAAAAATATTGAGAGTGATAGGTCAAGTAGTACAGGAATTAGTTTTGATATGTTATATCTTAAATTTTGGGTGACTTCTGAGATTCCAGTAACATAACAGAAGTGTAGCCTTGCAATTTTTTATCCACTTACCTGAAAGTAAGTCTTGTTGAACTTGGGACTAACCCCTGAGTAAACAAATAAAAGATTGTGTTGTGTGTTACATTATGATAGACCCTGGGGATATACATTTTTGTTCATTTAGACCTGGGGGACTGTACCTACCTATTTTAGATGCAGATAATCATTTTGTGCTCAAATTTGTTAGCTAACTTCTATACCATTTTAGCCTGCTCTGTATTTAATGCACAAGACAAGTAATGCTTTGTTTAAAATTATGAAACCTATAATAGTAAGTAAAGTAACCTGGGCCGCACCCAACAAAGGCTAGTTGAAATCACATCACATACAGTTTCCAATAAAAAAAGAAGGCTTTGGTATCTTGGGGGAAGAGGTCTTCATAAACCATTTGGGGACTTACCAGAAAAATGACCTTTGAGTCCTTTTTCTTAGGGGACTTTGGCTCTTTCATGATGTCATGAAAAACCACACAGTAACCAGGACCCAAGCAACTAGAGTTTCTGCTTAATAATATTGGGTGCACATATATGTGGCTGTCCTCAGCGTGTGCTGGGACCATGTGTCAGGTGACTGCAGTATTTTTCCTGATGTCTAAAACAATTCTTTGATCAAATCCAACTCATAGGCTTCCTCAACCTCGACCCTCCAGATGTTTTGGGATTACAACTCCCATCATCCCTGACCACTGGTCCTGCTAGCTAGGGATCATGGGAGTTGTAGGCCAAAAACATCTGGAGGGCGGAGGTTGAGGAAGCCTGTCATAGACCAAACGCTATGTGAGGCAGGTGCCTTATATACCTGCCCTGGGTATTGTTGACAAACTGGAAGTAGATAATCCAGTAGACATCCAAGACAAACTTGCTAGACCAGATCAATTTGGGGTCCCTGATGTAGGATAACTACATTGTTTATTTCTGATAAGGAAATACAGCGCGTCATTTCAGTTATCTCCTCTTTTTCCACTGAGGTACTCTTACTGTTTTCTTTCTTATATCAAAATTGCAGGGGACAAAGAAAAGGTCCCAGTTGGATCTGGAACTGGAGATTGAAAACATGGGTGCTCACCTTAATGCTTATACATCAAGAGAACAGACTGTATATTATGCAAAGGCTTTCTCAAAAGACCTGCCAAGAGGTAATTGTGAGTTTGGGAATTTAGATTTTATCTCCCAAGGAACTGATCTTGAAAGTAGATTAACTGGCTGTTCAACATCTGCAAAAACACCAAGGTGGGGGCCCTGTGCGCTGGGCTTGCTTTATTTATGCCTTTCTGTGTCATACTCTCTATACTATTTTTAAAATTGAGGCCTGACTGTAATAATAATGTTTGCACATCACAGTTAGGTATAAACCATGGCTTACTGTGCATGACTGATTTGCGTGACTTCACTTCTCCCTGCTAGTGCGTGGAAGAAAGAAACCACAATTGGTAATCTAGGAATAAACTTTTGCTTATCATTGTTTTTGTGTAGAGTGAAACAAACCATGATCCCTGCTGAGATAGCCAAGGATTGTGGTTAGTTTCCTCCCAATACCAAATGGAATGAGCAACTTGGGTGTGATTCACATATGCAGAGTAAGCTATGGTTTATCGTGTACCATATTTGGCTCCAAATTTGGATCCTGTGACAAGGATAGAATTTTAAATAAATTGAAATCCAGAGCACAAAGTTATGCATCCCCCCTCCAATTTCCTGCCTGTTTCTAAATATAAAATTGTCATTTCCCTAATTTCTTTCTAAAAAGATGTATTTCTTTCTTATTTTACTTCCAGCTGTGGAGATTCTTGCTGATATCATACAGAATAGCACACTTGGGGAGGCAGAGATTGAACGGGAGCGAGGAGTGATCCTTCGAGAAATGCAGGAAGTTGAGACTAATTTACAGGAAGTTGTCTTTGACTATCTTCATGCCACGGCTTATCAAAATACAGCACTGGGACGGACCATATTAGGACCCACAGAAAACATAAAGTATGCCTCCCTTTTGTTGCTCCAGTTCTTAAATGATATTTTATAGTATAGTCGTTTTATTATGGTCAATGATGTGAGGGCGATCTGGCTGCGACATCTGTCACCCCATTAGTTGCCAGGGTTGATTCAGCTTATCTGGTGTCCCCTCCCTCCCTCACGGCTCCACATGCATCCCTCGCTCCCTCCCTCCCAAAGCTGTGCACTCAGTGGAAGAAGACGACCATCCCAGATAGGAGTGTACCATTCTTTGGTCAAGGGTATACTATAGCTGTGCTCCCTGCTAAAACCTTAAATGATACTACAGTTTTCAAAGCAAAGATTACTATTTTGGGGGCGGGGGGAATCGTGATCCAAAGAATACAATGTTCCAACCTTTCTGCACAGTTCATTATTCTTAATTGAAAGTTAATTGAAATTGTTGTGCATAGTCCATCTCATTCTTGAAATTACAGGGTGGGTTTTTTTCTGGCAGACCTATTGCATTTTTTTTGCCAAGTATACTATGTGTTGCACTTTGTACCTGGAGAAAAATGCAGTATTTCCAGGTAACAATTTCCCCCCCACTCTTAATTGGATATTGTAACATGATTAGTGGAAGGTGACACAAATCCTTGTAATTCTTCTCCATAGCAATCAACTAGTTGGTTCTAAGTTTGTTTAATTGTTTCAGAGTTTGAATGCTCTGCTCTTCTGCAATCTGCTCTTAGTGTACAGGAGTTTGTTAGTGTTTCACTTCTCTCCTGAGAGCTCATGGCCATAAAAACCATGTATGGGGACTGTGCCCCAGTGGACTCTTCTTGAAAAGCAGCAAGGTCATTCCCTCCTCCCAAATTATACATATTGAACATCAGAAGCAATTTTGCTTCATACGGTGGCATACTTCTTTCAACTGTAGACAAGTTATCTCGTTCTGTTGCCCTTCTATGCATCATATTATTTTCTTTCTCACTGTTTTGCTGATCTGCTTGTAGGTCCATTAACCGTAATGACTTGGTGGAGTATATTACAACACATTATAAAGGACCCAGAATGGTACTTGCTGCTGCGGGAGGTATGATGCCGCTGTTGTACGATGTATACAGTGTTTGTGGTATTTGTGATGTTTACACAACTAAGAAGTACATCTTTCCTCTGTTCAGAATCAGAAAGGATAAAATAGTCAATGTTTAGCTGAGTATTACCTTGGATTCTAAAATGAAGTATTTAATTGCATTTTTGTCTGATTCATTTACATATATCACCCCTAAACTGATATGCATCTCATTTAGGAGTCGCTCATGACGAATTGCTTGAACTAGCCAAGTACCATTTTGGTAACTTGCCGTCTGTTGCAAAAGGAGGAGCGCCACTTTTGCCCCCTTGCCGGTTCACGGGCAGTGAAGTAAGTTGAGGCCTTTCCCTCCCACCCAGACAGCTGCAGCTTGAAAAATCACTGATAATGTAATAGTTATACAAGGTATTTGGTTAGCTGAGATTCTGGTTTGTCTGCAAAAGCTGCTGAGAAACCGGATAAAGGAGCAGAGGTGGTCAGCATCTTTTGAAGCACCGTTAGTGTTGCATTACAGCACTCATGGGATTTCTGGCCTGTTTCTTTTGCCGCTTTGACTTTCCCTCCATTTCTCATTTAACCTCTGCTAAGTTGCTGTGATGTCTTGTTTAGACATTATTACAGAGCCATTATAGTGGAAATAAAAGCTGTACAATTGATTTAGTTTATTAGGCAAATTTGACTGTCTGTGTCTTTTTAGCTTCCATCCATTTTGGCCTTTACATTAAAGCAGGGAAGGGGCTGCCTTTTTCAGACAGAGGTCCACATCCCCTCCTGGGCAGACTTCCAAAGGCCACATGTCAATGGTAGGTGAAGCTAGAGGCAGAGATGAAGGACCTTTATTACAATAAGCTAGTTTCTAACTAGACTGCTCATCCTCCTCTTTGTCCTCCATCCATCTGGGCAAAGTTCATGGGCTCATTCCAGCTGGGCAAAAACTTTGCACTCGAGGAGGGTGTAAGGTTGTGTTGGAGAGGGGTATGGCCTGGAGAAAGAGGTGTGTGGCCAAGATGGTTGAGGTTGTGGAGTCTCAAGGATCAGATCTGGCAGGCTGCATTTTGCCCCAGGGCCTGAGGTTCTTCATGGCCTGTTTGAAAGGTACCTGAAACCTTTTGTTTGTGGTGCTTTATCAGATTCGTGTTCGAGATGATAAGATGCCTCTGGCCCACATTGCGATAGCTGTTGAAGCAGCCGGCTGGTGTCACCCGGACACCATTCCTCTCATGGTGGCAAATACTCTGATAGGCAACTGGGATCGATCCTTCGGAGGTGGTGTGGTGAGTTAGCCTCAACATTACTAACCAGTTTCAAGTAAAGGATTGTTGCAGTGTTGTGTCTATACAGTCTCCTTGCGAAAGATGAGCCCAGTTCGAGTATCATGTTTTTCCTTTTTTTTTTGTAAACGTAGACAAGTCTTGATACTTCCTATAGCTATTTGAAAATAAGTCATTACTTGAGTTCTGTAGATCCATTTCCCTGCCACTTAAGAGCAAAAACTGATGCGATATGGAGATATTATGAGGTTAAAAGCTTTGTGGGCAGCGAAAGGATTGAATTATTTTCACCTGTGCTTTTGCTTGGCAAATTCTGTCCCCTCCCCCAGTTGCCGTTAGTCCTGCAGGGAAAGAGAGTTACCTGAAAATGACACGTTAACATTGTCCTTGGCAAAAATCAAGCCCCTTCTGAACCGAGTTTCCTTTCAATTCCAACAGCCATTATTTTAGCTTAGATTTGTCTGTCTCTAAACTTGTTCTTATAGATTAGTACCGGTACTTGCCACTTAGAAGCTGGTAGATGGATGAGTGTGGGGTAGAAAAATATCTGCATTTAAGAAGTGCCTAGAATGAAGACATCTGTGTCTAAGCTTCATGATACCCTTCTACCCCAAATATATTCCTCTTTTTATTTCAACAGAATCTGTCTAGTAAGCTTGCTCAAGTTGCATGCCATGGCAACGTTTGTCATAGCTTCCAGTCCTTCAACACCTGCTACACAGATACTGGACTGTGGGGTGTCTATATGGTTTGCGAGGGATCAACCATAGAGGACATGATGCACTTTGTTCAGAGAGAATGGTAAGGAAGTGACCATATCTGAAAGGAGCTGATATGGAATGAAAGCAACAAATGCCCTGAAGGGTAATGTTTTATGCATACATGAGAGCAGTAGCTTATGTAAAGTTGGTGCAGGATTTCACCTAGAGTGGGCATAGGCAAACTTGGCCCTCCAGATGTTTTGGAACTACAATTCCCGTCATTCCTGACCACTGGTCCTGTTAGCTAGGGATCATGGGAGTTGTAGTCCCAAAACATCTGGAGGGCCGAGTTTGCCTATGCCTGATCTAGAGGATACCATGCAATTACTCTTGTGCCTTGTTTTTTTTTACAAAGTGTAGGAGAATATGCATGCACTGGCATATTTGGCGCTGGGTTTGGAACCTAACAGGTCAATGTGTCAGTGCATCTGGCTGTTAACCAGAAGGTTGGTGGTTCGAGCCCAACAAGGGACAGCTGCGGGCAGCATTCCTGCACTGTAGGGGGTTGGACTAGATGACTCTCAGGGTCCCTTCCAACTCTACCATTATTAGCCATCCAGAGGGCAACCCAGTCAGATAAACTGGGTATTAAGAAATAAATTACTTTTATTACATTATGATTCTACAATTCTTGTGGCCTTGACCCATCTATTTCACTGGGATGTTAGCTTACAGGAACAGGTTACTGGAGCTGTGATTGTTCTATGTGCTATTCATAAAGGCCTGTTTTCTATTTTATCTAGATTGTGCATTTGCTTGTTCTTAGTGAGCCCAGTGAAGTATATCATGAAGAACACTGGCAGCCAAATTATTAAAACACATTTCTATTTTTCATTGTCTTTAGGATACGACTGTGTACTAGTGTTACTGAAAGTGAGGTTGCACGCGCGAAGAATCTTTTGAAAACCAACATGTTGTTACAACTGGATGGTATGATCTGATTGTTTTCTTTTTAAAAGTCCGGTCTAATTAATTTGCACACATGCTAAGAATGTCTAATTTTAGGTTCCACTCCCATTTGTGAAGACATTGGACGACAAATGTTGTGTTACAATCGTCGAATCCCAATTCCTGAACTTGAAGCAAGAATTGAAGTAAGGAGCATAATGGTTTGGTGCTTTTCTTAGCCAACTTAACATAATAGCTCAGAGTTATGGCTTTGTTTACTGCATTAGTATGGGTGCAGAGTGTTTGAAGATTATGCTGAAATCTCAGCTACAAGAGAGTTGGCCAAAAGTAGGGTTCCAGCAGCTGAGAGCTGTGTTTCAGTGCTCCTAAGTGGTCTCAGGAAAACTTGGATGTTTGTCAAAATTCTTACATACTTCATGGGCTGTAGCTCTTCTTGGTATAATGTTTGATATAGCATATAGACACCCTCAGCTATGCTGACGGATACTTGTTTTTAGGTTTCAGCTATTTGTACTGTCACATAAAATGGTCACAAATTAAAGGCTTACTGTGTTCTTTGTATTTCAGGCAATTGATGCTCAAACAATCAAAGAAGTCTGCACAAAGTATATTTATGATAAGTGCCCTGCAATTGCTGCTGTCGGTAAGGATTTCAGTACTAGCTGCCATTTGTTAAAAAAGTTGTCTGCTCTTTGTAATTATCTCTGTTTTAAAATTTCAGGGCCACTTGAACAACTCCCTGATTACAACAGACTCCGTAGTGGAATGTACTGGCTTCGTGCTTGACATTTATCGTAAAGCTTTCCTGGAGGCTTAAGGGATGATTTGTAGAGATTTGTGATGGCTTTGAACTTTCAAGACTGGCAAATTGATTCCTCCCCCCTTAACTAAAACTTTGCTTTCATGTTCAACAACAAACCCAAGTATGCTGCCTGAGTGGAACAAGGTTCACTATGTGACATTTTGTCTTCTGTTTCCACAAAGAAGTGTACAGCTATCTATACAAATAATAAAAGCCGTATTATACATTTGTACTTTTATTACAAAACAGAACACACTAAGATTGTCATTAAGAATCTCATTTCTTAGTCTTAGCAGCATTCACTACTTGCTCTTGGGCAGCTTTCTTCGCTTTAACCATTTCAACAAGTTCCTAGAATAAGAGAGAGAGAGAGAACCTTGTTCATATTGTTTCTTATCTAGTAGAATTTGCTAAGCAAGTTCTAGTTATTTCAAGTATTGAGAAGCTAGAAAGAATACTCAAGTCTTGGCACAGTAAGACAAAGTTTCAAATGATCAGTAACTTTAAACACTTGCCATTAGTAGGCTGCCACCAGCTAGCCTTCCTGTGAATAACACTCACTCCCACCACCCTATTTAACTGCTCAATAACTTTTGTATTGACTTTATAATAGTTCAGACTTCCAAAATTAGGGTTCAGAATGGGATAGATATTACTATTCCAAAAGCTATTCAGTTTCAAGTTACAGGGTGATTTCTATAATCCTGTACAAGCACCCCAGTGCTGCAGTTTGACTTTCAACATAAGCTTGATGCAAGTATAGTGTGGATTTTGGCTGTGCCACCATGAATTGGCACTTACTGTAAGACTAAGCACATAAAGCAGGGACAAGGAACCTTTTCCCCTTGGAGGACTGTGCTCTTTCACACACCAACTTGGTGAACTGGCCATGGAGGGAAATCATTCTCTCTCTGGTTAGCTGCAACAGGACTCAGCTGTGTCCCCATTTCCCACTGACTGAGCAGTGAAGTTTGGGACTCCCAATTCTGAAATCCACTGGTTCACTAATGTTTCGATTCAATAAAGAACACCACAAATAATCCTAAATGAATGGCATTGAACTAAAAGGCCAGCACTCTGAATTTAGTTAACATTGAAAGAAAATTCTAGTGTGATCCCTGCTCTTTTCTATTTCTTCATGTGATACAAATCTACATTTGCAAGTGGTCATGGTATATGTCTTTGATTCAAATGGTATAATGCAATCCTAAAGTCTTTTTTGGCCAGCCTATTTTAATTAAAGAGGTAGGTGCAGTGAATGTGTGCTTTGTATGTATGTAGCATCACATTCAATCCCTGGTGCCTATTTAAAGGTTTTTATGGCACTTATATCTGCCAAGACAGGGTCTGTAGCTTCCTCTGCCTCCTGATTTGTTTTGGAAGCAGAGTTTGCCTGTTAAAACAAGTTATGTGGGAACCCATAGTGTGTGATTTGCTTTGCCTGGGACAGCCTTGCCTGCAGGAAAAGTTGCTAAGCCAGGGTTTTCCCTCCCTGGCACAAATGGCAAATTCTACATACGGCAAGGCATCATTAATTTTGCCCTTACTATCTCAGGCAGTCATGAAAGGTGTTTTGCCAGTAACTGTTATCAGCAAGCTACTCTTACCTTTGCTCATGATCTCTTTCCCAAGGAACAGGTAAGGTTCCTATGACACTTGAGTGAGAAATTTAAAAAGTGGAATGGAGAGAAGCAAATGTAATCTCTCTTAAGCTGGTAATACTCTGAAGTGCACTATGGAGTAAAAACAGAAGCCATATTTTCCTACCTTATATCGTTTCATGCAGTCTTTTTTAGATCGGCCTGGAACAGAAGCTGCTATTTTCTCCCACCTTTCGGGAGTATTCACTGGATAAGTCTTGAGAGCTTGTTCTAAAAGTTTTTGTTCTTCCGTTGTCCATGGAGACAAATCTGTAAATGTGGCTGTTGAAAATAATACATGAGAAAAGAATGTGTTTTAAGCAAGAAGTCCTTAGTGAAAGCTATGCAAAACTCCCAAGGAATTTTCCAGCACACTCCCTGTTCCCTGGATGCCTTTAGTTCAAGCATCGGGGCATTTTTGTTTTCCATCAATTGAACATTACATAACTTCATCCAAATTCTAACTATTCTGTTCACATCTGCAAACACTAGAACTTGCAAATGAAGAACTTTGTTCATTTGGTTGCGGCTCCTCACAGTAGTAGTGATAGACATCAAGCAGATAATGCCCCAAAGCATCCAGTGGCAGAACTGGAGGGATGGCTCTTAACCACATGAGATCTGGGCATAAGAAGGCTGAATGGAATATTTGAGAGTGGGACGGTGGGGAGAGGCGAATCCTTCTTCCCCGCTTACCTTCAAAACGTTCTGACGGTGTCGCACTGTCTGCCTGTGGCACAACTCCATGTTCTTTTTTGAACTTATCAAAAGCTTTCTTATTTATGTCATCCTTCTGATGAGGGTCTAAGAAGAATAAGAAGTTGCTTTTAAGTAATCATGCCCCAAACGAATGTTTCACAGGAAATTGTTCTGCTTAAAGTCAAGCGTTAAAAGGCCAACTAAACAATTCAACCCATGTCATAAACGAAAGAAGTCTGAGAATTTTAAGTAAACTCAGTTTTCACCTGAAAGGCCACCAAGTTACATTATTTTAATAAGTCTCTTAGCAAGAGGGTGCGCATACAAAGTGGTTTAGGTCATCCTTTAAGCAGCAGCATTACTTATACAATGCTGAAATTTTGCATATACGTATAGCTCAAAATGACCCTCCAATTATTATAAGGACATCTCAGCCCTTGGGATATGAAAGTCTTCATTACGAAAAACAGCCAGCACTCCAGGAGAAATCAAGCCAAGAAACCAATGAAATGGACTGGAGGGCTATATTATTTCGCCCTTCATATACTCTGCCTCAGAATTGGGGAAGATAGTGGAAATGGGCAGGGGTGGACAGGAATGTATTTAGGCTTGTGGAATGTCAGCTGAATTTACTAGGAAGTAAATGGAAGCATGCAGACCATCTTACAAAGATAAAGATACCAAGTTTCTGGAGGCTCTTTGCTTTGTTGATAACATCTTTTGCTGTTCGCTTTATTCCCGTAGTAGAGTGCAAATTCATGTAATTGGCAATAACTTCCCACCTATTATCAGGCAAAAGAAAAAACAAAAATGCTCTAAAAACATCCTTTAAAAGTATGTTGATTCTAGCAGTTAAATGCCTGGCTAGTTTTTTTGTGTGTACTGTAATTAATATATCGCTTGGTAAGATATACAGGGTGAGTCTTTTAAAAGAGGCCCCGTGGAACATGGGTACTCTGTATCCACGGGGTCTCTTTTGAAGGACCCACCCTGTATATTTTAAAATCAAATACTGAAATTATTTGTTGGATGCAGTTTTGGAATTATATATGCACATCTTCCTAAATAAGAGTTACATTATTCTCAGTTGTGCTTAATGCATATGCTTAACAATATCCATAATGTGCAATAACCTTGTGTTTTAGAAAAACACAAATTGTTGAAGAAGAAAGGGTCTTCCCTGGAAAATGCACTGGCCTTCAGCTCATACCCCCAAACTGCAAACTAGCCGAAATCATGCAGTCAGAAATACAGAACAAATTCAGCAATCAACTTGAATGACTTTGCAAATATCCCTCAGCAGAAAGCTGTTTCTGCAGATCTGTGATACGTTGAGAAAGTGTATATTCACAAATCAATTTAACATAAAAATCAACACCCTGACTTGCCTTTTATGCTTCAACACAAGACTACTGCCTATATACATACTGTTCAATAATTGTAGATACCTTGAGTTAGTCCCAGCAGGAAAGAGGTTTACTGCTTTAATTAGCAGCTGTAAGTCATCTTCTGACCAGTTCTTACTTCCGCCAACACCTCCGCTTGTGGGTTTTTCAGAACTCTTTGTCGCTTGCCGCATACGAGCCTCTGCTTCCTCCCTTTCTCTCCTTATCTGTTCATTTACTTCGTCTATCTATGGGAATACAAGAACACACGAGACTTTAGCACTGAATTGCTGCAAACACAAAAGCCTTCTCCCAATACGTAGGCAATTGCCACAAGTTTCCTGGTCCACAACTGCCACTGTGGGAGAAGCTTTAGAAAAACACAGCTGAGCAAGTTAAAAGGAGGTAGCAGCTGCACAAGTTACAACACTGTGACCCCAGCATGTCTCACCATTTGTTTCTTGCAGAAGCAATTAAGAAAGTTTTCCCCAAGATCTGTGCAAATTAACTGCACTTAAATAGGTAGCTTTAGACTGATTTAAAACTCTGAGGAACACCCTCATCTAAAGGAGGAAATAATAATAATTGCATCGCATGCATGTTACTGGTCTTAGACACGTTGTAACCACAATAAAGCAAGAGAATTGTCAGACCATTTAAGCTTAATTCACAATTCAGTTTAAATACTGTAACAGAACAAGCAGTGTCTCAGTCTTCTGTTGATTTTGGCAACATGTAAGTCCATATACTTTAACATGAAGTTCAAGCATTGAACTTCCTTATCCTTTAAAAAAAAAATCTATAATCCTCTTGCTACCCCTGAAGGGGGGCGGGGCAGACAAGGTAGTGTCCCATTTTTCTCGTTTTTATCTCTCAAGCTTGCATAAACGTGCAAAGATTCATCTGCTAATCTCTAGATAGCATACTGCTCTTCCACTTTGTATGCTCTGAGATTCTGCTGGACTTTAAAAATGCAATAAAGGAGGCATTATTAGTTGTGTGAGCAGGTGCAAAAATTCTCTTTAGAAATGCAATTCTGCTGGGCAATTTGCTTCCTATACAACACAGCATACATGTTCGACAGGATCACACCAATATTTTCACTATGTTGACACACTCTTACGTGACAAAAGATGAATAATTACCTGTTTTTCTACAGCAGCCTTTCCTTCTTCCCTTGTTGTGGATGTAAGTGCTTCATTCAAGCACTGCAGACTAAAAATAAATTATTGAGCGATATTTCAGATCTAGTAGAAAGCTGAAGGTCAAAAAACGTAACATGTAGGTCAGGAATGCATACCTTGCCAATTCCAGACGATCACACAGCTTTTCTACTTCTTCCATCATCTTAACACATTCTGCCTCACTGTCAGAAAAGTAATTCCAGTTCTGAAAGAAGAACACCATATGCTTTATCTTCAGATTACAGAAAAACAGCAGGCAGAGGCAACAAGCAATGTGTTTGGCTTGGGCATTTTCGCTGTAGTAATTCTTCATTTAAGCAAACAGCTTCCATGAACATTGTTATCAAAAGCGGAACTAGCTTTGTTTTTCAGAGCAGAAAGCACTGGAGAATTAGCTGATTTTTGACATTCAAATGCCTAGTATTTTAAGCTCTTGATTAATTAGTGCAAAATACCAGTGACACATATGTTGGCTAAAATTTATGCTTCTAAAATTGGATGTTTATATTTTGGAGAACTTATTGCACCTCTTGTCATTTTGACTATCAGTACCACAGCATCACTTAAGGACATAAGTATTCTCCCCACCCCCCATAAAATACACATTTGTGTGTGCAAGTTCACCTAACGTAATGCATTTTTGTACACTGTTTTTGCTAATATGCACATTTTGTGTGCATGTTTCCCCAGTGCTCACTTTTTTATTTGGATAACTGCAACTGTTTATTTTTAGCATCCCTTCTGGAAAACTATATATAGTTACCGTAGCCTTCACATCACACCTCAGTTCACAAGGATATTTTGAATAACAACATCAAAAGTAAATGTGAGGCTTTATAAAACTTTAAAGAAAAACTCTTTTAAGATATCAAGGTCGCTTCTCCGAGAATTAGGACTAATGTAGAGTGCTGTTCAAACCCAATGTTCTATGAGCTCGATGTAAGAATAAAAGAATAAAATAAAGAATAAAATTTATATTTAACTATAGCAGTACACATATACCTTGCAGGTTGTTCGCAGTTTTTGCCTTTCCTTTTTAATTGCTTTTTTCTGAATATCCTTCTCTTTTTTCACTAGCAGCGCTTGTTGTCTAATTTCTTCCTCTTCTTTTTCCTTGGCTAATCGTGCTGCTTCTAATTCTGCTTGCCTTTGCTGAAACAGAAGAAAAACTATGAATCAGTAAAGTCTGATACCATATCTATGCCAAGTTAAAAGCAGTTTGTGACACTCGGTTCTCAGAATTTTAGGTATTCTTACTAGCAAACCAACCAGAGATGCCTATTTGTCATTATTTCAAGGCCATGACCTGAATTATTGACCAAATAAATAACTGCATCATTCCAGTAATCATCTGTGCTCCATGAAATCTTTCAGCATGATAGGTCTTTAGCAAATGGGAACGTCACAAATTCTTATGCTAATGAAACAGGATTAAAATGGTTTTTTAAACACTTGCTTATCTCAAGTTATGGCGCCAAAACACATCCATCACTTGAATTCAAAGATATTGCGTATTTGTTTAGGTATACATATTTAATTAGGTATGTTCTAGGAAAGCACAATTTATTACATGGGCCACAGGCCAAGTCAATAGATCATTATGTAAAACCAAAACCTTCAAATTGCTATATTATTATTTCAGTTTATTACCTGCTCTTCACTCTAAGGTCCCAGGGCAGGTTACAACTATTTTAAATACAATTTAGAACAGTTTGTATTTTTTATTTGTATGCCTTCAATCACAAAAAATAGGGTGGGTCATGAAAATATACATTTCAAGTGTCAAAGACTAAGGTAAAGAGGTTGAACCTTCAGCATTTGCTGAAAACTATAATGAAGTTGCCAGATACACCTCTGGCAACAAGTATTAGCAATTCGGAGTAATATTCAAGGGGTGACAGCTGTGTCTGCTACTATAACAACTTTTCCTTCTCCTCCTTCCCACTGCAGCCCCCATCCATAAAACCAGCTATGGAGGGTCGTCCACATGGGAGCGGGGGGGGGGGGGGAGGGCAGGCTTCATGGGGGGAAGTGAGGAAGAGGAAGCCCTGCTCTGCTAGCAGAAGTTCATAGTTCAAGCTGGTTGAATACCACCCAATGTGTAGTTTTGCCAAGCTGCCAGAGCACCAAAACATTTTGTACGCCAAAGCTTTCCAAACTTTTCATGTAGGTGACACACTTTTTAGACTTGCATCATTTCGCTACACAGTAATTTAGTTTTACTAGCAAACCAGAGGTTGAACGAATCCCTTTCCCGCCCCGGAAGGGGCACGGGGAATATTTGCGTGACACACCTACACAACACAGAGTTTGGAAAGCTCTGCTGTACACATTCATACTTTTTGAATCCTTCAAAACAAGTATAGATTGAAATGTACTCTGTCGCGCTCCTCCTGTTCTTTTCGTTTTGCTTCTGCCTTTGCTTTCTTTTCTGCTTCTTTCTTTGCTTTTTCTTCTTCCTTGAACTTCTTTATTCTGGGATCACAGCTGTAAGCGGTGTCTAAGAAAAGAAAAGGTGTCTGTGAAGTGAACATATAAAGGCTGAAATGTAATGAACGGGTTTTGACAAAAGTGAGTTCACACTTACCAACTAGTGTCCTTATTCTATTCATCTCTTCCTTTTTCCTTAATGCTCTGGCTGCTCTGTTCTGTTTTTCAATCCACCTCCTCTCATCTCGACTGCAGAGAGAGATGAGAGGCCTTAAGTAGAAAGCATTTCTATGCTCAAGCACATCTCAGTACAAAATCATTTCGGGAAATGTTGCAAAACTCAAGAGGAACAGCAGCATTTCCACGAATTCCTCAGTGAATACGATCGTATTCAGTAGGGCTTCAAACAGCTTCACAAGTGATGTCTTTTGATAAAACCCCAATTATTGTATTCAATGTACCCTGACACGTACCATGTGTTTACCACTGCCTGAATAAGCTTCTAAACTTTGGCTAACCGAACCCTCCCTCCTTCCTAAAAACAGAAAGCTTTCCTATATTTTATTTCTATTCAAATTTTCCTCCAATAAGCTGGGGAATGCTTGCACAATACTGAGATACTAGAGTAGAGAACAGGACCGTTTTTTGGACTGATTATCTCCGAGGATTACTAGATCTACGGAGAATCTATACTGGGCCTATTCATAAGGATTATTCTGCTTTGTTATTCAGTACCTGGTATCATTAATAAGATTAGTGTAAAATCTGTAACACAGTCGAACCTCCGTTTACCCTCTGGTTATGTAAACTTCGGGATGGGCATGTTAGGATAGTTCCGTTCCACCTTAAAAAGGGAACAGGCTGTTGTGTATCGCATGCCTGTTTACTTCCAGCTTCTCGCTGGGAACCTCCGTTTTGTATATAGCTTTTGTTCCGGCTGTTTTCCTGGACACGGAGGCAAGCAGTCATGTTTTTCCTGTGTTCTGAACTACGTTGAATAAAGCTGTAAATATGCTCTTCTGTCTGCATCCTTTCGTTGTGGAGACTCTGCTGAAAGGGTGTGCACGGGCCTTGGAATGCCTCCCTGGACGGGAGACTGGTGATCGTCCAGGGACGACTGGGGGCCTGCCTGATGCCTCCATCTCCCTGGCAGTATCCCAACAGTGCGTACGGCAAACCCGGAAGTATTTTACCGGGTTTCGCCGTGTGCACGTGCGCAGAAGTGGTCCTCAGGTTGCAGCAACCCCGGGATTCAACCGCACTTCCGGAACGGATCCCGTCCACAACCGGAGGTACCACAGTTGAATACGCAAGTTGAATTTCTTTGGTGTGTTAACTTCAGTGCTTTTATTTACATACCATTCTGCTTTTTCTTTTTCTTCTTCGTCTAAGTAAGAAAACTCCCGCCAAGAATCAAAATTATACCTAACATACAATAAAGTAGGAGAGAGAAAAAGTTAGTGCTATGCTGATGCCTAATCAAAAGTCGCAATAGTCGTATTGCAAATTCTTCCGAACATTTTTAGTCTGCATTCTTAATTTGAGATTATACTGCTAGCTGTCTGGTGCATACACTTTATCAAGCTTAAGGAAATCTACATGCCATCAGAATATTAATGAACAGCTCATTCTGATTATTTTATGCTGCAAGGCAAAATCTTATGATATGGGAAGAACAATGCCTCCAAAGAAAATGGAGATGGGGGTGCAGAGAAGCATTCTGCTTCCTACATTGGCCCCTCTCCCCCTAGCAATTTTTCTGCATTTCTACGTAACCACAGCACAGAGCAATAGAGATCAGCAATGATGTTAACATCTGGTCACATACATCTGTTTGCCACTAAATAAAAACTTATGTGGTTCCCATAAGTCACAAGCCATCAATCTGAAGATCTCATATCACAACTATTCCAGGCTTGTCTTGACTAAAGACTCTGCAACCCTACTATTTATATATATGGCAGTCTATTTTTGGGGGAAGGAAAGTTTCAAACTGCAACAGGGTTGCAATGTTACTTCCTGGCCCCACCCTTTATTCCTAAGGAAAAGTTATTCAGTGCTCTTACGTTTTTATACTATACGGACTTGTACAAGCGTAAGAGTCTTGTTTATTTTTACAGACAAGTTTTCCCATACAATTTTGACATGTCACATAAAATTATTTCAAAATGAAGAAAAAGAAAAAAGTTTGCTTACCAAAATGAATAAAATGCATCTACCTCTTCAAAGGAGGAATTTGTGTCCCCAAGCTTAGGTACATTTTTCTTATTTGACCATCTGTAGCAATTAAGACACACACAGACATTCACTATGATGAAAAGTTGGGTGAATTCATTGACGAAACAGTAACTTTGACTATACATTAATGTTATATCATGTGAGAATTTAATCTGAAGTATATGGATTTGCTTCTCTAATCCTCTGAACTCTATAGACCATAATTGATAAGACTTAAATGAGATTTCAAATTCAGAAGAAGTGAGCTTAATCTTATTCTCCAGCAAGTAGCACAAAGGAAAACAGTATCAGTGTTCCATCTTGGTGCTAACATTGCAAAATGACTCGGAATGTTGAGATAGTATAATCTATTATTTCTACAGTATTAGCAAATTAAATTAAATTTCTATACCTTCATCCAAGGATCACAGAGTGATTTACAATATAAAAACACAAAAATATTTAACATAGTAACAAACAAAACTAAGTGTTTATTTTAACCTAGCACTAAAAACATCCACAACTGCAAGATGCAATATAAAACTGTACACTGGACAGAAACCAATAAATTGAGCATAGCCTCTCCTCCATTGCTCTGACAAAGTTAAGAAAATTATTTGTGCACCATCGTGAAGGCTAGGCCTTGTGAAGCAAGTGATCGTGGAAGATGGCCAAGCACTGAGGCGGCATTAAACAATTAGAACAGTTCTGGAACCAACAGATGGATCTGCTCTACAACAGACTGCTCCAATGGTATCACCAGTGTGTGTTGCTAGGAAACAGCAATAAGCACACAAATATTATTTTGGTACCTAAGAGTGAGATAACTGAGTGCGAGTTCAGTTCAAACACATCAAACCACTAGGTATGTAGACACAACTCTATCTGCATCTGACCACTATTAAGATGCTCAAACTCCCCAAATGGCTGGAATCAAAGAAACTTCTAACACAAAGACACACTGCCAATAAGGCAAAGTGGGAGAAAATCTCCCCTACAGCCTATAATATAGCTTACCTGGCATTTCTTTCAAAAACCGGGGAGAAAACTTCAAAGAAGTTTTCCTTTGCTTCACTTTTAGAAGGAACAGTGTTATCAAAAGTAGGATCTATACTGTTAAATGCTCGTCTCTTCAGAGGATCTGACAAAATTTCATAGGCTGGAAAATGGAATTACAGGAAATAATCAATTTACAGTAAGGAATCAACTTAGAATGGGAGCCAAGCTTGGTTTCCCCTCAAAAGTGTCTTGCTGCTCATGCACTGCGAATGCCCAGCATGACTTTTTCTGAACTAACATGCAATGCACAGCCATTTCAGAAAATTAGCTTTGTGGACTGTGCTGGATGGATGAAATAACTATTCATATGTATCCAGTCCTCAGAGCCAATGAAGAATCCCAGTGACTGCATTTACCAATAGGCTTGGTGAATCAATAGAATAAGATATGCACTGCGTGTTTCTGTAACATGCTTAAAAGCTATCATTAGGACTTCTGAAAAGGGGATAGAGCACAATTCTAAAATCATCATTACATCAGTTTTCCCTTTTCAAAAGCTCCCCCAGTTATTGCAATTTCTGGAATGCAACATTTCAGAGTCGTGACAAGAGCAATAATTGGATAAGAGGCTGCTTATCTTTAGAGCAGCTTGCACATATACACAAACTAGGAATCTAAAATCATGAGTAAGCATAATTCAATCAATTATTTCATAATTAATCTAAGCTGACACACACAAGCCCTATCATCTGCATACAAGAACAATAAGGAGCACAATAACTTGTTTCAATGAATTCATTATTATTTTATTAAGCAGCAACATTATTATTATTACTGAGACACTGCCAACAGTTCCATTTGCTGGAAGCTCTGTTCTTCTAATATGTGTTTTATGTAAGCAAGAATCACAAATATACTGAACCATTTTATGCACAGTCATATAGGCTATGTTAGTTGATAACTAGGACTTACCTTTTGTTATACAAGTAAAGTAGTCGTTGTCACCTTCACCTATCTGTTCTCCTGCTGCTTTTCGCTTGTCTGGATGGTGTTTCAAAACCATGGCTTTATCTATGGGAGGAGAAGGAAATGTCAACTTCAGAAACACCTCCCTTCCCCTGCTTTATCATCAGTTGCATATTGCCTGTTTTAAACAGCAAAAATGTTTTAAGCAGCAAAAAGTAAACAAACAGCAGCGATACCCTGTACTTTCATAGACACCCCATGAGTTGAACCATACTACATATCTGTGGGGTCACAGCTATCCTTAATGAAGGACAGAAATGTAAGTAAAATTATTTCCCCTCTCCCTTATATGAAATGCAAAGTGGCAAAACAAGTACTTTGTGGTGTTTCACACATATTTAAAGTTTCAATATCTCACCCCACACATTAATTTCTGAATACTAATTATACTATAACTACAGTATTGAAAAAATGCAACTCTGCATATGCAAAGTATTGTATTTTAGGATGCAATCCTAACCATGCCTATGGGGTTGAAAGCCCCCATTAACTACAAATGGGTTTGGGCTGTGAAAGACCCCCAAACCTTCACACTACCATAGCTGATTTAGGCTGATGCAGCAGTTAAGATCAATCATTTATCAGCCTTTCAGTATTTTGTGTGTGTCTGGCATCTCTAAGTTTTGAACTAAATTGCACAAGGAGTTACATTGCATCAGGAGTCTGAGTTACCACATAAAAATTACAGCTGCATGTGTGCATAGCTTTGCCCCACCTTAATTTCAGGTGTTTTACTTCAATTGGAAGTCAATGTAAAATGCATCTTACCGTTTTACTTTAGTTTTGTGACTCACCTGTTATTGTTGATCCCTGAACACATGTATTTTAAAGTGTCGTCCTCCCCACCCCATAATCATAAGAGTCCTAAACTAACAATGAGACTCTATGGCTCAGCTGAAAAACTGTGCCACAGCAGTCAAAACCACATTCTTGGCGTCATTTTAAGTGAACTATTCTTCCTTTATGAAATCAACAGCTTTCAGCGCAGCACAGAACTGTTCATATGACCTGAAACATTTTCAATACAAAAAATGAATGTAAGGTACTTACGAGCAGCTTTTATTTGTTTCTGAGACGCCTTGTATCTTATATGTCCCAGCCCAAGAACTGAATAATGATCCTGATTCTGAGAGAAAATTGCAAATATCAACAGCTATTTATGGTGAGTAGCAACTATTGAGCAGCCAAGTGGCAGAGAAAGCTAAACTACTTTTTCCTTCTTCTGTTTTCTTGCCACTTTTGCCTTTATTGCCTTTCCTTATCCCTATAGCTCCTCCATCCAGGTTTTGAATGAGGAATTTTAAGAGACCTTAAAAAGGAGAGAAAGAAGACGACCTCACTTCATGAGAGAGGGAAAGAACACAGGTAGCTGCTACAGTGTGGTGCCCTACTTCTCCAACTCTCTAAGAGTTGCCACAAGAAAAGTATTAGCAGAAAGAAATGTGAGCACAACAGAATGAAGCAAAAGAAAAAGAAAAGAGTTAAATGAAAACAGGTATGTATAAATTAAGCACAAGGCAGCAGCAATGCCTGTTAATGGAACTTTAGAAGGCAGACTTCCATATTGCCACTGTTAGCTGATCTGACCAGACCTTCATATTATATGTTCATCATATATTTTCAAAGCTTCTATAATGTTATATTTTTCCACGTGACCCACTGACACTGTGCTGTTAGCTTAGAACTATTTACTTAGTATTAGCAACTGGGAAAGGAAACCTAATACCAATCTGAAAAAAGGAGAGGGCACAAAATGCTATTGGGCAACTCAACGGGGCTTACTCCTACATAAGTGGGATTGAATCTTGAATTTCCCTGAAGTGGGGACAGGGAGAACTAATTTTTGTGTGGCTGAAAACAATCCTTAAGATCAAATCACACAGGGAATAAAAGATGAAGCAATTATCAAGAAGCAATATAGAAATATTTCAAATTGTTAGTACTGGTAGGAAATCTTCACTAAAAAATGAACAAATACAATTGTAACATTAGATCATATACCTTCCAGTCCTTTGGATCAAGTGTTTTTAACATAGGAAATTCCTCCAGCTGCAATTCTTCATCTCCTGACTCTTCAGAGAGCTCTTTCTCATCTTCCAGTTCCTGGAAAGAGGCAGAAACATGTATGTTTCTCCTCTTAATAAATGCTTCAAACCATCTTCCCACAGGTTCAACTTGGCTAAGCACAGAAGCTGTGAATGAAAATATTACAAGCTTAGGAGGCACTTCCACTGAGCTAAAATCTTCACATTCACCCAGTACCAAAATCTGGACTACCTTGCATACATTTATTTGGCCAAAAGTATGTGTTCTGCAAACATAAGATGCAGCAAATCCTAGTTTGGCATCATTAAGGTATCATATACACGAATAAATGCACTCTTATTTTGCCCACTTCAAGCCAGCCTATAAAAACATTATATACCACACACACACAAAGTACCAGCTATTTAAATTTGTTGTAATTCATCAGCAAACCCGTCTTTATAATTGTCATTACAAATAGATATTTGATAAGTAGATATTTGATAAGTAGATGTTTGAAAAGTAGTTTTATTAGAAATAGGTCACTTGTAAAGTGCTTTTAAAATAAGAAGCACTTTAGCTGATTAACTGTATTATAACTGACGCATTTCTACCATACTTAGGGTAGTAGATGCTGTGCTTTAGTCAGTTACATGTCAGGGCAACACGGCTCTTCTATCCCCCAAACTGTAGGTTGCAATCCTACAGTTTATAGACTATACACCTGCTCAACCAGCAAGAAGGGCTTTCTTCTACCGACATATCTGCTTTGGGTGTGCGTGTGAGACTTCCCAAAAAGATGAGGACTTGCTTTGTTCTTTTTCTAAAAAACGCGTGAATAAGATCGGCAGTGCTGCACTAAGGTAGGAAACATGGAGTTAACACCTAACTACAGGAAGCCTCTGTGGGAGAAAAAGCAGGAGATCTTCTGCCCAACAATCTCAGTAATATGTCCAAGAGGCAAACGAGCTAAAAACCCCTCCATGCTGCATAACCTTCTAGAGCCGCGGATATTTGTGCGACAGGCGGAAATTCAACAGGGGCAGCTTCTACTAGCAAAAAAGGTACAACGACGGGGTGCCGGGGAAAGGTCCGCTGGGTGAATTTCTGCTCCTCTTATGCAGCTCCCGGGGGGGGGGGGGAGGCGGCAAAACCGGGGCGGCGGGGGAAGAAAGAGGGAAACAGCCGGGGGCTTTCAGCGCCGGAGAACCGACTAATCCCCCCCTCCCGCCCGGCCTCCGCTTGCCCCCCAGGCGCGGCGAAGGCCTCGTGAAAGGAAGCCGCCTCACCGGGGACTCGCGGAGAAGTGGCCCCCCTGCGAGGCCCCCGGAGGCCGGGAAGGCCGGAGGGGAAGGAGCCGAGAAAGGAGAAGGGACCGACCCGAGGACAAGGCTCTGGAGACGCCGGTGACCTGCCCCTCGGGCGCCCCTCTCAGCAGCATCGCGGCGCCGCCCAGGGAGGCCGCTCCGTCCCGGAACAAACGGGTCCGCCGCGGGTGCTTCTCCCCTCCCCCGCCGTCGGCCTCGGTCGCGGGTTGCCAGGAGCCGGCGCATGGAAGGACCCGGCGAACACTTCCGGGGCGGGCAAGCGCTTCCTGTCCGCCGCTTCCTGTCTTCCGCCTCGCCTCGGAGCGCGATGGAGAGGTTCCGCCGCACAAGGGAGCTGCAGGCCTCCCTCTCTCCCCCGCCCTCCTTTTTAAACGAAAAGAAGGGGTGGTTGGGAAGGTCGCGTCGCCCCTTTTAATGAACGTCCCTGCCATCTTCCATGTTGTAGAGAATTAAAGTGTTGTGTTTTTTTTAAACTGCGCACAGGGACTTTCCCGCTTGAAGGACTGAGGGCCACAGATACAGACGCAAATAAACATTTTCAGATGTGCTTTTCTCTACAAGCGACAAAAAGGCCACAACAAGAAGTGGTTTATTCCTGGGAACAGCAAAGAAAACAAAGCCCCAAACAGTCGTGAATGTCAGAAGTGGGGGGTTTTTTTGGGGGGGGGAGGGGATATTTCTGAAGAGATTTAGCCCAGTCAGTAGAAAAAACCACGATGCTCTTGATCTCAGGGTCGTGGGTTCAAACCCCTCGATGCGCAAAAGATTCTGCATTGCAGGGGGCTGGACTAGATGCCTCTCGGGGTCCCTTCCAACTCCACAAGTCTCTGCTTCTATGCATTCAGACTCCAGCGAGGCGGGTGGGCGCGCGCTGTGTCTCGGGGAGGGTAAGATTTGTGGAGACGCATTAAATTTTTCCCCCGGCTCAGTGGTGGCTGCCCATTCGAGAAGGAAGATCCGGCTGTGCGCAGCTTTAAAGTTCCCCCGCATCTCTATGGACCTATTTCTTCCCCCCCCCGTGGAGAGGGGTCTTTTCCGGCGACAGCAGGAAATGCTCGTGACGTATTTCCTGTTCAGTCCCGGAAGGAAGAAGCTCGGAGATGCTGCGTAACGCGCATGCGCAGTAGCAGCCGCCGGTAGAAGGAGTCTCCGCCGTCGGAAGCTCTGAGGGGAAGACGCGATGCCGGATTACCTGGGAACCGACCAGCGCAAAACCAAAGAGGAGGAGAAGGAGGACAAACCCATCCGCGGTGAGCCGGGGGCTGCTGCGGAAAAGAAAAGCCCCCTGACGCCCATTCCCTGGGCGCCCGTTGGGGTTCCAGTGCGCATGCGTGCCTCTCGGATGCCCCTCTGCTTATTTGCGCCCCCTCCCTTCTCTCCCCCCACCCAAACCCTGGTACCCTACAGATGTTTTGGATCTGCAGATGAAGGGCGGTGTGTGAATTCAATTTAATTTAAAATCTTGCCCCCCCCTACGTTAAACGTAGAATTATAGAATCTTGGAGTTAGAAGGGAACCTGAGGGTCATCCAGTCCAACCCCCTGCAATGCAGGAATTTCAGCTAAAGCATCCAGGACAGAGGGCCATCCACCCTCTGCTTAAAAACCCCCACTGAAGGAAAGTTCACAACCTCCCGAGGGAGCCCGGTCCACTGTCAAACAGCTCTTACTGTCAGAAAGTTCTTCCTAATGTTGAGTCTGAATCTCCTGTCTTGTAACTTGAATAAATAGGTTTGGGTCCTCTGGAGCAGGAGAAAACAAGCTTGCTCCATCTTCTAACCCTGTAGGTTCTGTTGCTCTTGTTAGTCCCATATTACTGATGTGGCTGAATTGTTGCACTGGCTGCTGTTACGCTGCCCAGCCAAATTTAAGGTCTTGCTATTGACATATGAAGCCCTGAACAACTTGGGACCAGGTTATCTTTGGGAAAGCTATACATTATACACCCTTCCCAGTCACTTCAGTCCTTGAGAGAGGCACTCCATGGGGCCATTTGGTCCCAAAGTTGGTTATGTTCACTAAGATCAGAGCCTTTAGTGTGACAACTCCTTCCCTTTGAGATGTGCTTCTGCTGGACATCAGGTAGATGTCTACATGGTATTGGCGTTTAGGCACCTGCTTAACATTCACCTATTCACTCAGGCTTTGCCTGATGTGATGCAACTGTGTTGATGTATTAATTTGATGTACCGGTTTGTGATGTGTTTATTTTATGGGTAGAATTGCATTTTTGTATTTTTACTTATCTGCTGCTTGCCACCATATATAGTTTAATGTTGGCAGTACATACATTTTTGCAAATAATAAAACAGAAAACTTATGTCCAGATTCTGTGTCTTCAGACTGTTGGTGGGAAGTCGTACAAAATGCAGTTGTTTCACTTTTTAATATGATCTGTGTTATATGTCTTTCAGCTTTGGATGAAGGTGATATTGCTTTGTTGAAAACCTATGTAAGTATTTGTTGCAGTTACAGCTTCAAAATTAAAAAAAAACCTAGTAATATTGGAGTGTTTGGGAAACATCCACATTAACCAACTGGGAGGAGTGAACAGTCCTAAAAGACATACTTTGAGTAAGCCTCACTGAAAATAGCAGGGTTTAGTTCTAAGTAAACATGCATAAATTTGTGAGTTTTGCTGCTTCAGCTGGAAGATTTCACTTTCATCTAAAGTAACAGCACCTCAAAACAAAATCCAATTTGGAATAAGCAAATCAGAAGCCTAAATATTACAGTTTCATGTGTGGTTTGGTGAAAAGATGAAAATTGCAGATTGCTGAGCCAACTGGATTTAAGTAAATGTGTCTTATTTGCAAAGAGCTGTGTAAGGGTTCATATCTCATGATTAACAAGATCTGTCAAAATTCAACATTTGCTTGAAACTTTGCAGAACTGCAGTGCCTACTACCAAGCTAGATTGACCAGTGGCCGGATTAATAAGGTTTATCTGTTCATAGGTCTGCATTTGGGAAGTATCTGTTCAAGTCCCATTCATATATCCACTAGTTTGCCTTACTTTTTCTAATCCAGGGCCAGAGTACATACTCGAGGCAGATCAAGCAAGTTGAAGATGATATTCAGCAGCTGCTTAAGAAAATCAATGAGCTCACGGGTATGTCATTTTAGGGTTCATTGAAAGCATATATCTTTTTCATTTTAGTTTTGCCCTTTCAGTTATGGAGCATATGGGCCTGTCGTTCACTACTGCTCACTCCCAAGAAAAACTCCAAATAGGAAGGGTTGTTGAACAAAACAAAGGAACTGAAAACAAAGAAACCTTCATGGGCAGAGAAAAAGGGGAAACATGAGAGAGGAGATGATGTCAGATACAGAGAGCGGCTTAATTTTGACAATTGGGATTTTGAAGCTGACATGGAAAAGGATAACCAATGTACAATTGAATATCTAGTGTGGTGTAATTGTTAAGACTGCGAGCTAAAAGCCCCCAGTTTAAATCTCCTAAAATGCTCCCCCAGGAAGGTTTGCAAACCTGTTGAGTATTACATAGCATTGATGCAAGTGGCAGAGTGGTTTTTCCTTTTTGTCATGTTTATGTTGCATTTGCTGCTGAAACTAATTGAAGCAAACTAGTGCTTGAAGCAAGCTATAGCACAGCATTGACCTGAGTGGCAAAGCAAGTGGTTTTTCTGCTTTTGTTTTTTAGGTATTAAGGAATCAGACACTGGCTTGGCTCCCCCTGCTCTCTGGGATCTCGCTGCAGATAAGCAAACTCTTCAGAGTGAGCAGCCACTGCAAGTGGCAAGGTATGCAGATACTTTATCTGGTCAGCCATAGGAGCAAATAGTTATAAAAATGCATAGCGATATAGCCGTTGCTTCTATCCTCCACATGTAATGTGCAATCCCTGTTGCAAACAAGTAACATAGGGTCCTTTCCAGTATAACATATGGAGTTATGCTACAACATAAATATTAAAACTTTGCTATTTGCATCTATCTGTTTCCTAGGAGCTTTAATTTAATGTTTCATTCTGACATTGTAGCTTAAGGCCCGGGTGTTTGAAATCCCTGGGGGTGGAGTAGGTTACACTGAAAGCAGTCTTTAGTTGGATATTTAAAGTGCCACTTCTTATGCTGTTCATGATTATTTAAGTTTTAGGGAGAAAAAGAAATATGGTAGAAGGAAGAGTTTTTAGTTATGGTTACGTAGGCAAGGGCAGCAGAAATTTAGCCGTCCTGTAAGTTCTTCAAGAAACCTGGACTTCGAATGACACTTGGCTGTCAGGCACATTAAACCCTCATTTGCTCACAGATTGCTTGTTTAATTACTTTTCTCTTCTGGTTAGATGCACCAAGATAATCAATGCAGATTCTGAGGATCCTAAGTACATTATCAATGTGAAGCAGTTTGCCAAATTTGTGGTTGATCTTAGTGATCAGGTGGCACCCACTGACATTGAAGAAGGGATGAGAGTTGGGTGAGTTGATACCAATATTTTTACTGTTCTTAGTTTGAGTTACTTGACTTAGTCATCGAGTCCAGAGGATTGAATGCACATTTATATTTATAGGAAAATATATATATGTTGCCTTCCTGCCCTAAACAGGGCTCCCAAGGTGGTTTACAATAGCACAATGCAATTAAAAGATGGAATGCATTCGAACAAGCCATGGTAGAACAAGTGAAATAGTTTTCAAGCGGTATAAACATCTTTGATTGCCTGCCTAAAATACATGCAAGGGGCCAGTCTAACATCCAGTGAGCCAGCACGTTGGATTTGGGACTGGAAACTGAAATAATATTTTCTTATATTGCTGCATAGCAAAGTTCCCTGAGAGGTTTATAATAGAAAAAAATTGTAGAGTAAAATACAACAAGCTCGTAAAATGGAACACAAAACAATATCAATATCATACGTAAGGATTTTAATAATTCCCAGATGAAAACGAGAGTACAAGTCAACAAACATTTTCTGAAAGAAAATAATCTTTGCCTGCCTTCGAAAAGAGAACAAGAATGGAGAACATGGGGCAGGAAATTTCACAACTGGGATACTACTGTGGAGAAGGCTCTGGATCCTGCCTTCAGACAATGGGGTTTCTTGAAAGAACGTCTCATCAGAAGCTCTTATTGCATGGGATAGAGCAGGCATCAGATAAACAGGGTCTCTATCATGTAAAGCGTTAAATGTCAAAATGCCAGTTAGGGACCAACTGATAATAGCAGATTCTTTTCAAGGGCCTGGACTAAATGGCACTTGAGGCTTAATCCAGCTAAAAGTGGACAAGTTTTAATTTTCAGACCATCTGCAGAGTGTGATATTTGATCCAGGCTTAAAATACAAGGTACCAAACAAGGTCAGCATTGAACACAGCAACCACTGGGAAAACTTGATTATAAGCTGAACATGATACGAAAGTGGAGTTTGGTCCTGTTTTCTTCTAGAGTACTATTTGGTTGTAAAATGCCTTGGCTGCAGAATGTAAATAAAGTGCTCACATCTGAGCTGTGATAAAATACGAGGCACAGAGTTCTCTGGAGAGAGGGTGGGAGAGTGACAAGGATTGAACAAGTTGTCCCTCCACCTGGATTCCTTCAATATGTTGCTGTGGTGCCACATGGCATACCTGTCTGCCCAAATGTGTTCCAAACTACCCATTCCGATCCCTCGCCCTCACTATGTAACCAGCCTCACCAGTATCAAATGGAGAAAAGCCTTTACATCTCCGTGGCTGCAGTCTATTCACTCTGCCGTGGTTGAAGGATGCTTTTGCCAGACCCCCTTATGAAGAGATAGTTTGCCCCTGTGGAGGTAATGTGCATTTGTATTCTTTTTCTGCAGCGTTGACAGAAACAAGTATCAGATTCATATCCCTCTGCCTCCAAAGATTGATCCAACTGTTACTATGATGCAGGTAAGAACTCTTATTGCTATTGGCCTTTGATTGTTTACCTTTGTAATCTGACTTCATTGTAACCTGCTCTTCTTATTTCATAAGATCTGTTAAAAAAAATTATTGCAAATAACAAAGATGTGTGCACATCTGTTTTGTTACAAAGGTAGAGGAAAAGCCTGATGTCACCTACAGTGATGTTGGAGGTTGTAAAGAACAGATTGAGAAGCTAAGAGAGGTGGTGGAAACACCCTTGCTTCATGTAAGTATTGTAACAGAAAGTGTGTGTGATCTGCTGATTTTCTTCCTCTTACAGCTTTCAAGGGCTAATTGCATATACCGCAAGAACCTAAATTATTCAGTAGTCAAAAGGCTTTTAAATCAATTTACATTTCAGTTGTCAAGATTTAGGATGTTCCTTTTGTTCACCTTTCGAGGAAAGTATGAATTGCTTCGTTAGATCTGACAAAACTTCATCTAGTCCACTGTTTTGGAAATTCGTCTTCTAGGCTGCCACAAGCGGGGCACAAAACAATGCCCTTTTGTCGTCTGTCACAATAGTATTAGGGATTCAGAGAGATGCTACCCTGTTAGTATTCTCCTGTGATCAAGCTGACTGCTTGAATAGGGCAGTGCTGTCTTTGTGAAATTGCAGGGAACATGTACCATTGAAGGCTTGAAGAAAGGGAATGGCAAAGGGAAATGTCTTTATCTGCTTGCATTATTGAAGCTTCAGTGCCTTCCTATTGGTTTTGCACCGACCCTCTTGTTACACTGCACTGCACAGCTTTCTTGCCACTCGGTCCCTTCTTGACTTGTGCACTACTTTTAAAATGGAAGATTTCTTGACAGTTCATTGATAGTACTGAAATTGTACTGCTGTGGCAAGCTTGGGCTCCTGCAGCGCTTTGGCTGCCATTGGGTCCAGTCTAGGACCCAAAGATACTGCGTTTCATCCTGTCTGTGCAACTTTTAAACTTACTGTCTCCCTGCCACTACAGCCAGAACGATTTGTCAATCTGGGGATCGAGCCCCCTAAAGGAGTGCTTCTATTTGGCCCGCCGGGGACAGGAAAAACTCTCTGTGCTCGTGCTGTTGCTAATAGGACCGATGCCTGCTTCATCCGAGTGATTGGATCTGAGCTGGTGCAGAAATACGTAGGAGAGGTAATGAAAAGAGGGAGCATGTCTGTGCATCTGTACTGGGGGAGGTCAAGTTACCAGAAAGTCTGCTCAAACTATACTTTAAATAATCTAAGTTTTCCTGCAGAGGAGGATGAGAGTCTTTGCCTTAATATTATACAGTATGATTAGAAACCTGGACCTCTTTATATATTTGTTCACTCCTCTGGCAGTTTGGATCATATAGAATCTGAAGCCTGTTTTTTTATGTAGGGTATGTGAGATACTGTATGATGTACAGTAGGCTATTCTCATGAGTTGGGACAGCCAGGCACCAGTTATATCCTGGAAGGAACTGCAACTAAAATGATGTCCCGTAATGAGCACAGTTTTACCTCTTGGTTCTGTAGATTCATTTGGAAGTTTTAATATTTACTTTAAATACTCTTAACTCAAGTGACAGTTGGCTTTATATGAAAGTAAACCATCTGTCTGTCTTTTTATAGGGTGCTCGAATGGTTCGGGAACTCTTTGAAATGGCCAGAACAAAAAAAGCTTGCCTTATCTTCTTTGATGAAATTGATGCTATTGGAGGTTGGTATCACCTTACATCAGCCTTCACCAAGCTGGTGCCCTTCAGAAACTGGACTACAACTCTTTATTCTTTATTTATTCTTGGCTTAGCACTCATGGTGCGTTTGGAGAGAAACAAACCACTAGCTCCAGTTTTTACATAACAAGAAGCCACACCCTGACTTGTTTTTCTATCTGGTGCAGCAACAGCAGGAGCAGGGAAGCTAGTAAGTGTGGCCTACCACACTGCTCACATTAAAGCATAGGTGAATTTATCGTTCAAACCAGGTCCCCTTTCTCTATGTCAGGTTAGTCTGTTTGGAAGACGATTAGGTAATAGAATGGCAGAAGCAACTTGATATTTGGCCTCTGTGCTGTGCTACTTCATGCTGGTCTCTGTAGCACCAGCAAAGAACAAGGAAAAGTATTTCACAAAAGTATATCCTGCTAGTAATATCCTTTTTTAAAAAAAAGAATGTGATATTTTGATTTACTGCAGTAGCCATAGATAACATGGTAAGGGAGTACACATGAATTACATTTTCTTGTTTTGGGGGCAAAGTTAACAAGGGTGCCTTTTGTGTTTCTCCTGCTGTCTCTTTCTAGGGGCTCGCTTTGATGATGGGGCTGGAGGGGACAATGAAGTCCAGCGCACTATGCTAGAATTGATAAACCAGCTTGATGGCTTTGATCCAAGAGGCAACATTAAAGTACTGATGGCAACCAACAGACCTGATACTTTGGATCCAGCACTGATGAGGCCTGGAAGACTGGATAGAAAAATAGAATTTAGCCTGCCAGATCTGGAGGTTAGACTAATTTTATTTTGATACTAAGCGAAGTCAATAAGAACACATTTATTAGAACTTGAAGGACTGGAGGTGAGAATTTTTTCTACTACCTCTCAGAAAATGGATTTGATCAAATAGTCATTTTGTACCATACCTGATTCTTTCTTGTCAAAAGGATTCTGGTGGGCAATTTTAGACCTTTCCTGTCTGTCTTGGTTCTTGCCTGATTCTATTTCAAATTATGTATTTGACCTGGTGCTTCTGTCTAGTGACAAATTCCAAAAGAGTAACTCTGTGTTGTAGCAGTTAACAAAAAGGAAAATAATATTGTAGTCCAGCCCACAAAAGGTCGTATTGTGCTGTGCTCGTTTTGAAGATGCCACAGGATTCTGTCTGCGCTTCCTGTTGTTCTGAGGGGGTGACATGGACTACAGCATAGGCAATAGGAAAGTATGGCGCCTTAAGGGAAAGTGCAGGTTTTTATTTCATAGAATTGTAGAGTTTGAAAGGTCCACAAAGATCATCTAGTCCAATTTCCTGCATTGCAGAAATCTTTCACCCAACATTTGGCTCTGGGGCTTGAACCCATGATCTGTTGAGCAGCTGCTGCCTTCTGCTCACTCAACTGCCCTCTTCCTCTGGAGAAGGGGCAGATAAGGGATTAGTGGAGGCTGGTGGGCAAGGAGGTGGTTGCAGAACAGCAGCTCTGGACCTTTCCAAAGTGCTGGAGCCTCAACAGTTGCCTAAGGATGCATTCCCCCATTGTTGTCCCTTCAAAGGACAAATCATATTGGCTGAACAACTGCTTTACTCCCAGGTGCATCACTAGACATCAGCGATGGGGAGTGTCAAGCAGCCCTCCAGGCCTCTCTTTTTGGCCCTCTGGAGTTTCCCCAGGCCACTGGTCTTGCTCTGTACCCTCAAGTGCTTTTTGCTTGACTGGAATGTGTTTCTGAACTGGGACAACGTCCCTTGCTTGAATGGGTGGAGGGTGGTGTGGCTTGAATGTAACATCTACCAAATTACGAGTCTGTTGCCCTGCTGACTCTGTCTTTGGCCTTCCCAACACTGATGTGTAGATGGCAACAAGGGGATGAAGCCCTTATGCTTAGTCTGGCTGTGGTTGTTTTTTTAGGGACGAACTCACATCTTCAAGATTCATGCCCGTTCAATGAGTGTTGAAAGAGACATAAGATTTGAGTTGCTAGCTCGACTGTGCCCTAACAGCACTGGTAAGTCAAACATCATAGTTCTTGTTCTCTCTCTCTGTTTGGTGGTGATAGTTGTTTCAGATTGTTTTTACATCCACTGTTCTTCCTTGCAAGGTGCTGAAATTCGAAGTGTGTGTACAGAGGCAGGTATGTTCGCCATCAGAGCAAGGAGAAAGATTGCCACTGAAAAGGACTTCTTGGAAGCTGTGAACAAAGTAATCAAGTCATATGCCAAATTCAGTGCTACACCTCGTTATATGACTTACAACTGATTCTAGATAGCACTGAGAGATCTCCTTCATATGGCTAATACTACGCAGAGTAATATCAAAAGTTCTAGTTTGTGTGTGTGGTGTAACATAGTTGGACTAGTAGAAATAAATGGAATATTCCAAGTTACATGGTGTAGTTCCTTATGATATTCAGTAAAAATGTTTAACTGCATATTACCCTTCCTAGATCTAATGAACTCTGTTTGGGAGCACCTCTTCCTTTCTGCAAGCTTTTGAGTGGGACATACCCTGTACAGCACTGTGAAATCAGTAACTACCTCATTGAAAGTGGAGTACATGTTACCTTCATTAATAACAAACCCCAACATTTGAGATTCCAAAACTTTGGCACCAGTTTCAAGGGAGTCATTTTGCAGTGAAACCCCCGTTTTTTACAGTGCCCCACAGTGCCTTTCTGTATCAGATTTTGGTGTCATTTAGGAGGAAATCTGTAAAAAGGTTTTTCATTATACACTTGAATTACCATAACAATATGCTTAATCAGACTACATCACTGGCCCCCCTTTTTAAAAAAGAATAATTGCCATTAATGTCTATTACTGTCTCAGGTCACAAAACCTTTAACCTAATAGATAGGCACCATCAAAGTGTCACATAGGTGCATATCTATCTTGACTACCATAACATCTAAAAATAAGCAGAAGGGAAATGGAAGAACTTAGCACAAGCTGCAAAAAATGGCTTTTATGGGATTTTAAAAATTGACTACATAAAATGTAGTTTTGAAAGCCAGTGTTGAACACTTCAAAGATATCGTACAGTGCAATTCTTCAGTAGATGGTACAAGAATACATTTTACAACAATGCCTCCACAATAAAGCGTCAAAGGAAAGTAGCAAGCAGTCCATGTCTCCCAGGCTTGCTGCATCATCTGTACTCTTTTCAGTAATCCACAGTGCTAAAAATATCCATGTAGTGCAATATCTCGATCTGCTGGCACATTTCTGAACAACAACAAAAAAGAAACTCCCAAATCTTTTAGGATGCTTTCAGGAAAATACACGAGTCTTCTTTTTTTATACAAACCAGTTCAGGCTATACCTGACTTCAATTTTTGAAAGTATTAAGGCTTCAAATTCTTCAGAGAGCATCCTGGCAGAAAACAAGGCGGCCCTACTACTGTGTCACATACCCGTAAGACTGGCTAATCTTAGGCGCTGTATAATCTGTGCAAATTAAGTATTAAAGAGAAGCCCTTGGAATTTAATCAATGCACCACCATACAATCTATGATGCAGGAGTTCACACCACAACATCTACAGGAGTCTGCGAGGCTGAGAGGCCTTTCAGTTGGCTGAAGAGGACAGCATCATGGGTACTGGGAAACAGCAAGTCTCTTCGAGCAGCTTTGTCAAAGAAATGTAGTCTAGCAAGGTTCTCCACAACCGATCCTAGGTAGAAAAGAAAAAGCTTTAAAGGGGTGTGGGTGTAAAATTGTACAGCCTCTATTTCATTCCTGTGATCTGACTAAACAGCTTACCTATGCAAAACCACACGCACCTGCCCATGTAGCTGGAGGAGGAACAATGCATACAATGGGTGGTGTGTGCTTAGTTCCGGGTGCAATATAGGAGCTACGGCTGTATTTATATAGTCCCAGTATGGGGGAAACTGAGCGGCATTCAGCTAACTAGTTTCATCAACACAAGGATGTCCACTGGCACAATGGAACTTCACACCCTCCCATTATCTGCTCTGGAGGCTTGGGGGAACACCCAGAACAGATTTATGGAGCTCATGGTGGGAGTAAGTGTCAAAATCTGCTCTGGTGCCTCCTGCAAGTCTCCAGAGCCAATTTTAAGGGAGCAGAAAGAGGGAGGAGGCAAGAGAGGAATAGGAAGAGGAAGCTTTGCTCCATGCCCTGAAGTCGGTGGCTTCATAGGTGTTGCAGCATTGGATGTGGCCCCAAATATTGTTATATTTTAAAACACCATTTCTAACTCTCATGGCTATAAAGAGGTGTTTGTGTGTCCGTTCAAGCACCCTTGAGAGTCTGCAGCAAAACAAATGTGTGCAAAATGCCTGAACTTATTTTGAATACTGAATTTGAGCACTCTCACAGAAAAGTTCAAGTAGTAGTCCAACATGCATACAAATTGGATGCAGCATCACCCATAGTGCACCTTTGAGAACACTAGAGGGCACTGCCGAGTTTAAAAAGCAGCTGGATAAAAGTGGATCAAAAGTCACAGGGCTCCATATAACCTCCAGGCTGTTCTTTTAACAGCAGCTAGTGTTAACAAACCAACTAACAAGATCCTCTCCTCTTTCTTCAAAAATGCCCACAGTTACACAGGCAAAGGTAAGGACCAAGTATCTCATTCTTTGGCTTTATCTTCAACAGTTGCAGGTTGCTGGGATTTACATTAGCACTTTCTCCTGTTCTTTAGCTGAATTTGCTGGTGTTACAGTCACTTCATCTGCACTTCAGGCAGAAAGGAGAGACAGGCATAGCTTGTATGATATGGGGTTGATCAGGAAGCCACACATCAGTAACACAGCATGTTTTTAGCATCTTTGCTATGTACAATCAGGCAGTAGACCAATATTTGCCTCAGGCCTTAGAGAGCTGCTGCCAGTTAGATTAGATGATGCAAGGCTAGATGTGGGGGTGGGGGAGAGGAGTCAAAAGTGACCACAGCAAGTCCATGATTTCCAACCGTCAAACAGGCTTACCATTGCAGCCGCTGATATACACTGAAACTCCTATTTCTTCGTATTCTTTTATGATCTACAACAGTGCAGAAATTAATTTGCAGTTAATATATTTGTATTTTAAAAGTCATCGTCATAACATACACATGCCCTTTTAAAATTGAGCAGTTTTTCTAAAAATGCCAAGGGAGAAATTGGGAGGCAAGGAGTACGGTGCTTAGAAGTGCAATCCTTTGCAGGCCTATGCTGAAGTTAAGTCTTTTCAAGTTGAATGGGACTTACTCTCAGGTTAAGTGTCTACAGGATTGCAGCCTAAATATCTAGCCTGTGGCCCCCCAGATTTTGCTGGACTGTAACTCCCATCATCTTTGATTACTGGCTGACCAGTGACACTTGGAAGGCCACAAATCCTCCCAACCTGTTTTGAGGCATAAGACAGCAGGAAGCTCTTCTGGGCAAGCCTCTTTGAAATGGATGTGAGCTGTGCACGGTCTTGTGCAAGAGAACTTCCTTTGGCCTCACTTCCTTTACCTGGTACGTGGATGCATGAAGCTTTGTCTTTGATGTGTGCCTTAATACCTTGCTACCAGAATACTTTTCGCTGCTTTAAGTGTAGGATATGGCAATGAGATAAGATGCTACATACTGAATTTAGGGCTTTGACTCCAACTGAATCCACGAAGTTCACAGGTGAACAATCCAAAATGATTGTGTGAATATTGGTCACTGGCTCCATAAAGCGCTCGAGCTCATCGGGAGAGGAGTCCTGCGTAGTTGCAGAGAACTTTCCGTTGAGTGGCAGTTCGTCATTCATTACTTCATGTTTCACACTGTTCTCTGTGTAGTTTGTCTTTCACAAAAGATAAATAAATACCAGACTTAAGTATAGGTTTTTGCTTCTTTCAGACTCCTACAATCAGCACAGGATGTCATATTAACTCTGCATAAATAATAATAATAATAATAATAATAATAATAATAATAACTGTCCCACATGCACACTTGTTCTCTGTGTAAATGAATGTAAAGTGTTGACTATGTAAATATTTATCTAGAGAGCTCTCATTGTTTACATAAAAATTAGGAAATATCAAAGGACAAGTATCAGCGTTACTATATAAGGACACATGTTGTAACGGAGAAGTTTTCTCCTGCCAGCAAATGGTTACAGAATGGCAGCCTCTGGTTGGCTGTGGTTCCAGGAGGGAGAGTTTAAAAGGAGAGGCTTTGGAAGGAGATAGGGTCAGTGTGGTTAAGTGGGTGGTTGAGTTGAGGTGGTTGAGGAGGGAGGTTGGAGAGGTTGGGAGTTAGGTAGGGAGATAGTATAGGGGTCAGGCTGTAATACAGAGAGTGTTGAGGAGGGAGAGTTGGTTCTGGAGAAAACATCCATTCCGAGTCTATAGTGAAGGACTGAGTGTAGTGTCCTGCAGGAGTAAAAGGACCGAATTTTGCTGGGAGACTGAGGGTGAGACAGGAGAAGTAGGAGCTGAAAAAGATTAAGTCTACTTAGGTCTCAAACTAGTCTGGAGGGGAGAGACTCTTCTGAGGAAAGAAGAGACTTCCAAAACCCAGTGAAGGAAGGGGTGTGTGGTGAGCCCTTAAGACTATTACTGAAAGTACCTCAGGAGCTGGAGTTGTTAAGGGTGGGTAACTGAAGGAAAGTGCTGCCTTGGAAAGGAACCAAACTATAAAGCTGAAACCTCTGAAAACGACTTGAAGTGAACTAGCATATTATCATTGAAGTAAAGTTTCTCCACTTGTATTATACTACCTGGTTTTAAAAATAAACCTTTATTGTTTATTTAAAGAACACCCGCTTGAGACTCCCACAGGATACTCTACTTCATCCCTGTCAAGTCAGCTTCTGCATGTGGAATCAGGGTGGGTGGAGAGGCTCTGGTCCTTTCTCTCAAGCATATGTGTTGAAAAGAATCAGCCCCTTGATATGCACAAAATCCTGTGAAAGGGCCCACCGTGTAAAAAAAAATTCTAGTTACATCAGCCTGAAACACACTAGAAACTAAGTGCAATGTTGGGATATGAAAACCAGAGGTCTTACATGGACAGGACCACCATCTCTCAGGGGCCAATCCCTTTTGGGGGGCCCCAATATTTGGGGGGCATGTACAAAAGGGGACAGAGGAGGCCAAGTGTGACATGGCTTTAGTGGCCAGCTCCTCCTCCTCCTGCCATGGAGGAGAAGGAGCAGTGAAGAAGCTCCCAGCTGGTCGTGGCGGCAGGAGGAGGAGCCACAGCCATTGAAGTCGCAGTGCTGCCATGTTCGGCTCCACCCCTGCCACCTCCCGATGCCCTATCATCGCATACAACACAACATGGCCCTGTCCCTCAGAAGTTGGTACCACTGCTCATGGCAGGGTGAGTTTTACAGGATCATGATATCTCTTTTCCTTTCAAAAACAGGTGTGTGAATCTGCCCTTAGGACATCCTCA